ATTATGAAAGATATAAAATTTGTGTTCAATTAAACTGAATCATAATTCTGAAAAAATGTTTTCTTAACAACAGTAATTGTTTGTAGTCTGTCACCTATTAGGGTTTAGAAGTTACTTAAAACGTCCTCATACCATATTACATTTTTGTAGAAAGTTCAATTTTTCCCTATAGTGGAGAGAATGCTTGAGGAAGACCTCCAAACTGAAGCTGTCATTTAGGCTTAGGGAAAAAATATTTTTGAAAATAGCAGATGCATTTTCATATATGCTGCTTTACCAATGTGTTTCTGAGGCATATCAGATTCATACAACGGAGTGGTCTGAAGTAGATCTTGGTAAGGGGGAGAAAACATTTTTGATTTAGCATTCTGTACTACTTCTCAGTCACTTATAGTAAAACTAGTAAAAATAAAAAAACTAGGCTAGACTGGAGAGGGCAAGACTAAAGGCAAAGAGATTTGTTAAGAGCTTCTGCAATAATCTAGATGAGAAATAATAGGAACCTAAAGTAAGGGAAGCGTCAGAGTTAACAGAGAAAAGGAGATAGATTGTAGAGATATTTAGTTGGTAGAATCTGTGAGTGTCTGATGGGATGTAAAGGTTTGGTAAAATAGAGAAAATATCTAGAAAAGCTTTCCGATTTCTAGACTGGGCAACTGGGTGAATAATCATGCCATTTACTTAGATAGAAAAAATGGGAGGAACCACAGCAGGTTCATGAGGGAGATGAGGAGTTCATTTCTTAAAATTGCTGTTTATGGTATTGTGAGATGTTCAGGTAGAAATGCCCGGTAGGCACTTGGGAATATATATCAGGAGCTCATGAGAAAGGTGCAATGAAGACAGAAGCTGGAAGTCACTAGCTTGTAACTGAATGGCATAGCCCAGCTAAGGTATTTAGAAAAATCCTGGGGAACAGGAACACCAAGAGAAAGAAATCTAAGCAGCAAATGCTTCAGAGACATGATGGGTAAGGCATGGGAAGCTCTATCCACGGAACGTGCAACCTACACAAAAACAATTCAGTAAAATGATGTGTGTGGACCCTCAACCAACCGGACTAAATACTGAATGGGAGGTGAGGATGGCAGAGGCTGTGCTTTCAGCGCAGCTGGCTGCAGGCAGAGAGAGGTGGGAAGGAACTGCGGAGTGGGCAGGGGCTGGAACGGGGCTTTTTTTTTTTTTTTTAAGATCAGAGAGACTTGAATATATTTATATTTTAGGGGAAAGAGAAGGTAACAGAAAGAGGTTTTCAAAACATTTGGAAACTGTTTTTAAAACACACTGCCCAAGAAGCAAGAGAGGGAGAGCTGCGGGAGCGTGAGTGCCAGCGTCATTCCCAAGAAAGGAGGCAGTAGGTATCAAGAATGTACCTAAGAGATGGGCTCATTTCTAACTGGTTTAGGTTGAAGAAGCTCATAGCAACCTATCTTCCTAACTCAATTTTGCAAATGAGGCAACTCATTAAAAAAAATTCAGTTTTGCTGGAATTTGGAATATTTAATTTCTACTTCACTGGTCTCTAATCGTTGTTTGAAACAAACTCTCAGCATATTTGATTTTTATTTCATTTACTTATGTTAAAAACTTTAAGGTATTAAAGGCAAACTGTAACTTAAGGAAAGTACTCACAATTCGAACAAGCCAGGATAAGGTAGATGTTGCTGTTGAGTAATGTGTGTTATAATGGTAGGGTGGGCTTTGCTCATCTTCCCACGTCTCATAACGCTCTGCGTAAAACACAGCTCTCTTTGGGTTCAAAGCACCAATTGGCTATAAAAGGAAAAAGGAAATATTTTGTTTAATACAGTCATATTAGACATTATTGATAAATCTTAACCTTGGAAATATTTCACTGTTAATTCGTTTTAACCATAGATCATAAATACATTATTTTGCATTATATTTTTAACCATATTGTATTTTGATATTAATTACAAATCATTAAACTTGCTAAAAATCGCCCAAGAGGATGATTCATATGTACATAGTTTCTAGACTTTACTAAAGGTTTTAGTAAACTGGATAATCTTAATCAAGTTTAAACTGTTAAGGCCAAACCAATAGTTTTATGTTATTTTCCTGTATACTTGACACCCTATATAACAAAAATTCAGCTGAGATTACAGGAAATCCAGTGAGGAAAAGGGAAACAGCTGACCATTTGACAACCATATTAGAGAAAACCTTGTCATAATAGCCTGTTACCTAGAGTGTGAAAGACAACAGTCCTCCACACAGAAACTCTGTTGGAATGTTAGTCCCATTCTGTTATTATACAGATGAAATGTTTATTCTTTTTATTAAGTTAAAATACAAACCTAAGTGTGATAGAATAATCCAGACAATTCTGATTTCCTGGAAAGCATTTTGCTAAGGCCACTAAAACCTCTCCTATGCGCACCACCATACTGTTTACCAATTACAATGCTAACACCTATAGTGGAGTACACAGTAAATGCTCGGGGAGCAATTTTTTTTCTTCAATAAAGTGTGTGTTAATTAGATCATTGTCTCCATTGTCTCCAACTTCTTACAACACTTAATCATTAAGAATTTCTAGCACAGCATCTTCATGATTTCAAATAGCAAACTACCTTAGCTTAAGTTTTTGGTCTGATTTTGCCTTAATGATATATGGAGTCTACTTTTATGATATTAAATAACCACATTATTTAGTTGCATACTATAAAAATAAACATGTTTATAGAGAAAACAAAAGATGAGTACTAAATATAATATCTAACTCCTTTATTTCAAAATTTAATATTTCTAGTTAACTATGAAGATCCTCCCAAGGCTCAATTTTAACAAGAGAAGTAGAAAAAAATTAGTGTTTCAATGGGACGCATAATGTTACACAAGAGAGAAAGATTCACTTATAAATTGCTATGAGCCTTTCTTTTGCTCTCAAGAGACTAATTCAAATAACACAATGATGTTAGCAGTTAAAAGTCTGTTAGAATTTCCATAATAAATTCTTATTTGCAAGGATGCTTATCCTGATTATTAAAATTATTTGTAAATTATGT